CTGGTGTCCTGCTAGACCAAACGGGTTGGTCTCAGCCCAGACTCCAGGAACCAAGCCTTTGAAATGGTTCAACAGAGTTAGGGAGGTAGGGGTGGAGGTGGTCGAGGGGCGGTCTGGGGAAAACGTTAGGGGGAGGAGGCGAGACTCCTCTGACAACGGGCAGGTGAGAACAAGTTGTGGCAGGTTAAACCCGAGAGTGGGGTTAGGTCCCTTAAAGGAAATGATAGCCTGAAGCTTGTGTAGGAGATCTCGGCCAAGCAAGGGGTAAGGGCAATCAGGCATTACTAGAAAAGAATGGGAGACTAGGCCCTTCCCTAACCGGACTTCCCGAGAAGTGGTGAGGGGTACAGACTGTTTTCGTCCAGTAGCTCCCTGGACCTGCACAGTGGACGATGAGAGGGAGCCCAGTGGGGATTTCAGGACCGATGCCGCAGCTCCAGAGTCGACTAGGAATGAGACAGGTTGACCCCCAATACTGAGAGTAACCCTCGGCTCCAGGGGGTCAAGAGTCACAACGGACTTTGAGCTGGGGCACCCCTAGTCTGTATTCAAAGTCAATAACAGCTCTGCCTTCTCTTTCAGCCCGCGATTAGGGCACTCAGATTTCCAATGACCCATGGCTTTGCAGTAAGCACACTGATCCCGAGCTAAAGGAGGCCTTCCCAAGCCTTTACCCTTATAGGGGCGCCCAGCGTTTGGGCCCTCCCGCCTTCCTTTCCACTCTTGCTTCTGAGCCTCCCCTGGAACCTGTGCTAAAGCTGCCACTACCGCCCTTGCGACCGTGCGAGTTTGCTTGTCTTGAGTCTCTTCACGATAGTCAAACACCCGCTTGGCCACTTCCATGAGTTCAGTCAGATTTTTACCCTCAAAACCTTCAAGTTTCTGTAGCTTCCGATGGATGTCCGGAGCTGAATTGGCTACGAAATCAATTACGATGGCTCTCCGGTTATTGGGATCCTCTGGGTCAATAGGGGTGTAGGTTCGATATGCCTCGTAGAGGCGCTCTAAGTATGCAGCTGGGGACTCATCCTTGCCCTGTTTAACCTCACTGACTTTGGACATATTAGTTGGCTTCCGTGCTGCTGCCCGTAACCCTCCCAGCAATAACTGGCGATACCTGTCCAGTGCTTCCCTACCGCGATCAGTGTTGGGGTCCCAGTCGGGCCGGTTCTCAGGGAAGATGTGGTTGCGGCGCCCCAGGTCAGTAGAGGGATGTCCATCTGGGTCCAGGACTCCCTTCCTGGCTTCTAAAAGAATCCTGTCACGCTCCTCGGTTGTAAAAAGAACCCGGAGGAGCTGCTGGCAGTCATCCCAGGTGGGCTGATGAGTATAAAAGACAGTCTCTAGGAGGGAGATTAGGCTCTGGGGCTTATCAGAGAAGGATGGGTTTTGCTGTTTCCAATTGTACAAATCACTGGTGGAGAAGGGAACATATACCATGAACGGTCTCCCTGATTCTCCGGGAGGGGAAGGAACTTGCCGCAGGGGAAACGCTGACACAGTGGAATCTGGGGTCAAACTGGAATTAGAAGGGCCATAAGGAGCACCTGCTCGAGTATGGGGTGGACTTATCAGAGGAGGGGCTGAGGGGCTCAGAGACCCTGAGGTTGGGTACGGGGGTGGATCTGAAACCTGGGACTGGGAGTACTCAGCTGGATCTAGGGGGTCAGAATCAGGGGGTGGTAAGACAGGAGTAAGCTGTGTGACGACCTTAGGACTTTCGGGAGGCTTGCGGCTAAAGGTCGTCTTTGATTCCGTTCCTGGTCTTAGTTTTGAAAGGGCCTGGACCTGTAGTGGTCCTGAAGGGGGTTTGAAATCAATCCAGGCGGTGATATAGGGGACCTGATCGGGGTGGCCAGGTATACCATAGACAATTCCCCTGACCCGGCCGGCCACCGAGACGTCAAACGTACCCCCGGGGGCCAGCCTACCTCGAAGGTGGGCCATTCCTGTTGGCAAAGGAGAGCTAATTTCTTTTTAGTAACCTGAAACCCATAACCTTCTGCTATACGCCGATATTGTTTGAAGTCCCGTAAGACAATAAAGAGAGGGGAGCCTGGCTTAGGGCTCGAGGGTCCTTGTCCCATGGTGGATTAAGGACTGAGAAAGAAAAGAGTAACAAATAGACGTGCTCACGTAAGCAAGGACCAAACACGGACACAGGGAAGACACAGTCAAAACAGGGTAGAGGGGAATCAAACTGCCTCAATTCCGAACGACCTAGACAATGAGACAGGAATTTACACCCCCCCTCACGGAACAAATAGTAGATAGATGCGCACACACAGTCGACACAAAAACGGAAAAAAAGACACAGTCAAAACCCTGGATGCTCCTGACACAGTAGCGGAGAACAAACCCGTCTTAGTTCCGAACAACCTGGAGAATGAGGCAGGAAGTCTTTCTCCCCCACCCCGCCACGGAGCGCACAGTGGACAC